ATATATACCAAGCTTTATAAACAAGCCTATAATCTGTATAATTGTGCTTTGTGAAAGAACATCTACTTGCATGACTGACCTAGGGCTAAAGGCCTGCCAAAGTTAAAATTAAAGTTTTAAAAAGGATAATTTTAACGATCAATATCCTTTTTCCCCTCAATTTCAAGTATTTGTATTTTTAAATAATGTGGGAAATAGTAGAGTTTCAATGTCCTAGATTAAAAGCATTAACGATAAAAGCCACATCTGGACTTCACAAAAGAATATATTTTCTTTCATTCGTATTTTTAGCTACTGAATAACTTACTGCAGCAAGTTCTTTCAGTTAGCATTCAGACATGTAGCCAGGGCAGTAATAAATACCACAGCAGAGAAAGTTCCTATTAACCCTTTAACTTGTCTTCCACGCACACGTTCCATCTGATGTTTTGGCTGAGGAGTATCTGAATTGCTCTTCAGTACATATCCAGACACTATCCCATGGTTGACATTTTCATCTAGTATCCTCTAAACTGGGATTCTAATTAATTTTAGTTGCAGTATTATAAAGCAAGGCAAAACTAAAGGAAAAGCAATAATAACCATGATGATAATGACTTAAGACAATCAGCTGATTGTATTAAATTCTCACCATCTCTACCTTTACATAGGAGTTACCAATCAGGCAAGAAGTACATTTCCTTGGTTGAAGGTAATTGAAAATGATGTTTTTCTGGTCTAAAACTGGTAATTTTTGCACAGACCAAGCCCTGACTACATTGTATCACAGAAGCAATCAAGCTTTAATCTTAGGCATACAAAGCTTCCATTAAAATCTAAAAAACAGTCCCTTAGCAAGTGTTTGTTGAGTATCTACTATGTGAAAAGCATTGTGATAGGCAGGCTGCGGTGTACAAAGGTGAGTAAGATAGCAGCACTCCTCTCTCTGTGACTATATAACCTCTTCCTTAAGATATATTGAATCAGCTACAATACCAAACACAAACTGATAAATATGATAACAGATGAAAACCTAAAGTATTACCTAGAGTGGAAACTTTTATTAAAACGTAATCATTTTAATCTAACCTGCTACGGGTACCACCTTGAAAGTTGAAGACCACCTTTCAACTTAAGGCTAGACTATGGGATTTTTAAATAATGTAGTATAATCTCCCTTCCAGAATGTTGGAATTTAAAATAGTATCTCTGGGGGATCCCTGGGTGGCGCAGCGGTTTGGCGCCTGCCTTTGGCCCAGGGCACGATCCTGGAGACCCGGGATCGAATCCCACGTCGGGCTCCCTGCATGGAGCCTGCTTCTCCCTCTGCCTATGTCTCTGCCTCTCTCTCTCTCTCTCTCTCTCTCTCTCTCTCTCTCTCTCTCTCTCGTGTGACTATCATAAATAAATAAAAAAAAATAAAGAACAATGGGAATTATAAGAGGAGATGGCAAACATTTTAGAAAGCAATTCTTTGACTTGAAAGTTAAAACATAGAAGATAGTGACTGGAGATTTGAACTGAAAAGAACAGGTTTATTTTAAAAAGGGCAAAACTATACTCAAAGAGAAAAGCTTTAAGGATAGTTGTTGTTTTTTTAACTGTCATTCTCCTGGTACAGACTATCTCCTTCGTGCCACCGCAAATAAGGACAGCATAAAGGTTTTTTTTTGTTTGTTTTTGTTTTTTGGTTTTTTTTTTTTTTTTTTTTTGAGAAGTCACATTTAGGAATGCTCAAGACACATCGTTGTCCTAGCCCTCCCCCTGGTCTATGTCTCATCCTTCCCAGGGCTGCTTCAGGCACTGCAGTCTGAAGAATCCCCTCAGCAAGATGCCTTGCTTTCTCCTTGGTACCACCACTGATCCTGGTGCACATCTTGATTACAGCATTAATCACAGACTACTACAATTATCTATTTGTGTATCTGCCTCCTTCCTAGATAGTGAGGTAAGAGAGGTCAAGGACCCCGCAACCTAGCAGAGTACCTGATAAACTATGTACAATCAACAGATAACAGGTCATCTCAAAGTGCCATAGAAGAGAATTCTACTAGGACCATAAAACCACTGAGCATAAAGTTAATCAAACTAAAGGAGCAATTCACTTACAATGAGTCTTTCAACAATGATTTGCTTGGCTTCTACTGAATAGCAAGCACCATTCTAGGCATGAAGGGCATAGAACACAAAGCATGCAAGACACCTGCCTTCAGGGAACTTCCATGTTAGAGGAAGGGTGAGGAAGAAAACTTTAAAAAAAAATTATAACAGTGAATGTCTACAAAGTTTGGGATATTTTGTGTGATCTCTCGAAGACCCAAGTGGTCTAGTCCCAGTGCCCAAGAAATTTACACTCTAGTTGTGGGTATAAAGATAATCAACAACAAAGACAAAATACAAAGTGAATGCTAATTGTGTAGAACAGAAAAATAAGGGGTGTGACAATTTATTGGTGGGCACTTTGGGCCATAAGGATCAGTGATAGCTTTCTAGGTTCGTGGCAGGCTTGGAAGGAGAGCAAGCCACTGAAAAACAGAGGAGCCAAGTCTGGTATTACTAAGGAAGGGAAATGGTCTGAACCAAAGCAGAGGAGAAAAGTGTAAGATTTTTTGGAATGATAGAAAAGTCTCCCTCCTGCACACCTGCCATCACTTTCCACCTAATTATTCAGCTCAAGTCCAAGAGTCACCTTGTTTGCTGGAAGCGGTGGGTCTTTGAGGCCTCAGTGATGTCACCTCTTTCCTAAATTTTCAGACCACTCTTCTCTATTCCCATGACCACGGTAGGCATTTCCAAACCTGACTACTAGAAAGGTCTACCTCTACCTCCTTCCCACTCCAATCCATTTTCCAACATGCTGCCAGGAAGATCTATCCTAACGCATATTTGATCCTATCATTCTTTCCTTTAAAAAAAATTGTCTAAGTATAGAGGAATGGATAAGGAAGATGTAGTGTGTGTGTGTGTGTGTGCATATATATATATATATATATAAAATCATCACCAGCATCATCACCATCACTACTACCACCACCACCATCACCACCACCACCCTCCTCCTTCCTTGCATGTGGGCAATGGGATATTAGTCAGCCATGAGAATGAGGGAAATCCCGCTGTTTGGGACAACATGGATGGAACCTGAAGGACATCACACTAAGTGAAATAAGCCTGACAAAGACAATTACTGTGTGTCACTTCCAGGTGAAATCTACAAAAAGCTGAACTCCTAGAAACAGCAGGATGAGGAGGGGAGGAGGGGATGCTGGTCAAAAGGCACAAACTTCCAGTTGTAAGGCCAAGTTCTGGGGATCTGAAGTACAGCATAGTGATTATTATCATGAATACTGCATCCTGTACAGGAAAGTCGCTAAGATGGTGGGCCTTAAAATGTTCTCACCACAGAAAAGGAAATGGTAATCATGAGGTCACAGAGGCGCTGGTTAAAGCTAGGGCAGTAATCATTTTGCAACATAGAAGGGTATCCACTCAGTGGGTTGTACAAATGTTACATGTAAACTGTATCTCAATCCGGCCGGGGGGAAAAAATGATAAAGGAAAACCACATCTATGAATGAATGAATGAATGAATGAATGAATGAATGAATGAATGAAAAAAAGAAAGAAAAGAAAAACCACATCTATAAATGAATGAATGAATGAATACAAGAAAAGAAAAACCACATCTAGCTCCTAAAATTAAGGGACTTCTAAAGTCATTTAAGAAAAAGAAGGGGGGGGGCTTTAGGCCATGAGCAAGAACTGTTATGTTTTAAACTGAGCCTGGGAGCAAGAGGCAGGCTCCAGAGCTGCTGAACAGACCAGCTCGGAAATGTAGTTGCCAGGTTCATTCGCTGGCCCCAATTGTTTTCCTCCCCCCGCCCCATCCCCATTAAACAGTTCTCCCTTCGCTCCGTCTACAACCCCTGCACATTTTAAACTCTAACTAGAAATGATAACCCCCAGGCCTGCCCCCAGGCCTGCACCCCCTGCACCCCCCCCCAGCTCCGGCCCTCGCCCTCCGAGGAAGTGTCCCGAGATCCGCCCCAACTAGGGCTTCCTCCTCCAATCACTTCCCCCGCGGGCTCTGCGGCTGAAGAAAGCCTCCCCGGCCGCCCCCCGCGACCGCAAATCCGTTCCCGGGGGCCCCACCCGGCCCCACCCCGCCTCCCGCGCCGCTCCCAGCTTTGGCTTTAAGGTGGGCACAGGTGGGCCGCGCAGCCCCGCGCCCCGGCCCCCGCCCCGCGCCGCTCTCCGCGAGCCCCAGCGCAGGTGCGGGGGGCAGGGAGTGACCCCGAAGTTGCAGCCCCGGCGCCAAGGTCCCACCCGTACTCGCACCGCCGCTCAGGGGCCGCGCCCGCCGCGCGCCCCGGCCCTGCGCCCCCCACCCCCACCCCATCCCATCCTCACCCCATCCCCGGCCTTCCCGGGGGCGCCCCCCCACCCCCACCCCGCCCGCAGCTGAGCTGCGCCGAGGCCCCGGGACGGCGGCGCGGGCTCCCTCCGCTGCTCCCCCCGCTCCTCCACTTCTCCCCACGCTGCTCCCCACGCTGCTCCTCTAGTGCTCCCCCGCTGCTCCCCCCCGCTGCTCCCCACGCTGCTCCTCTAGTGCTCCCCACGCTACTCCTCCGCTGCTCCCCCCGCCGGTCCTCCCGCGCCTCTGCGAGCCCCCGGGCGCCGCGCCCCCGCGCAGTCCCCAACTTGTCCGGTCGCCGGCCCACGCCGGGAAGCCCCCGCTCACCGATATCCCCGTCGTCGTCGTCCTCCTCCTCCTCCATTCCTAGCAGAACGTCCCTGGTCATCATTTGCATGGCTCCCCCAAAAGGCGGCTCCGAACTTGGCGCGAAGTTGGGGGCTCCCGGGTTCCGGACCCACGGCGCTGCCACGGGGCCCTGCGTGCGCGCGGGGAGGGCCGGGCGCGCGGGGCGGGCGGCGGGGGCGGCGGGGGCGGCCCGCACTGCTGGGAGCCGAGCCCTGCGAGCCCTGCGAGCCCTGCGAGCCCTGCGAGCCCTGCGCGCCCTGCGCCCGAGCCCAACCACTCGCCAGCCGCGCGGGGCCGGCCACTGAGCATGCCCAGTGAGCGAGCCGGGCTCGCTGCGGAATGATTAAACTTCCCCCGGGTCCTTTAGGCTCCCAGAAGGAAGTCGGGACGGAGCCGGAGTCGTTGACGTTGGCGCTCTGCAAGCCCGTGACCTCGGGGAGGAGGAGGCGAGGGCGGGGGGAGTGGACGCGGCTCCCCGAACCTGCCTCCGAGCGGGGCAGCTCTCTAAGGTCAGCCTTGGCCGCGGACCGGGGCTTGCTGCCTTTGACCCGTGTCACTGCGGAGGGGACAGCCGCCACGGCGGCTCAGGCCGGGAACCCTGCGGGCCAGGCTACGTGGAGCCAGTGCAGGATCTTCAAGCATCAATTACTCTTACTCCAAAGTAAGGGGACGTGTCCTCTCCGGGGGGGGGGGGGGGGGGCACAGAGAAAAGAGGCAAAACTCGTAGATAATAAGCCACAGAAGAAAAAAGAGGGAGATGTAGAGCAACGTGTTCACAAAAGGCAGGAGCATTTCCGCATAAAGAGAGGTTAGGAGGCGAGAGAAGCGCCCTCTACCCCCGCCTGCACCAGCGCAGACAGGGTGTGGTCGCAGGAGGACCTGGAGCGCGCAGTCCCTTTGGACCACGGAGGCTTAGTCCTCCGCATCGAAAATGCAAAAGAAGCCAAAGAACGACGCTAGGGTTACAGGGAAACTGCTGTAATGCAGCGTGAAAGACTATTACTAACCCGAGGCCGCAGAGAAAGGCCTAAACTAAAACTGAGGCCGAATATAAAAAAATGCATTCCTGGAGACTTAAAAAGAGCCATAGGACATATGCAAGGGGATTTCTACTTTGCAGGCACGTGAACTGCAGGTTTCCGGGATGGTGTGTCTGCAGAGCTGTGTTCAGAGAAGCTGGTGGTGGATGGGTCCATTTGGACTCCCGGAAAGGGCCAGATGGTATGTTTGAAATCCTTGTTATAGTCATTGTCCTACCCTTGCCATCGAAACTTTTGTATGTTTTTTCCACTAACGTAGCAGAATTATTATGATGACACTAAATTGCCTGTGCATTTTACTCTCCTGTATGTTAGAGGTTAATTGGACACCCAGGTAGTCAGGCCCAGGGTCCCCAGCAAGAAAGCAAAAAAGCCCAGATAGCCAAGACCAAATCGCACTAGCATCCTGTTTTACAGCTTAGACAAGACCACAATAGCATCCTGTCTAGCCGCCTCTGCAAAAGTGACTTTTACAAAACATCCTAAAACAGAACAATTAACTGTAAAACAGTTGTCAGTACCACAAGTCGAGGCGGGTCGTCTCCGGATGTGAGCGCAAGAGACCAGCAACATAGGAACAATAACACAACAGGTAGACAGGTGCATGATCAAAGCCCTGATTGTCACACGTTAGCCACCAGTCCACAGGGACCCACACTGAGGATGCTCAAAATAGTTCCTCGAAAGAGCTCATAAAAACCCCTAAATGTGAACACCAAAAGGGCAACCCTCTAGGGTCCCCTCCCTCCCTGGGTCCTTTGTACTATTATTGTTCAGTAAACTTTACCTTGCTGCCCACTGCTCTTCGTTTGGTCTACTTCTTCATTCTTCGAAGCGGCATGACTAAGAACTGTTGGCATTAAGGGAATAAAAATCCTGAAGCACATATTCTTGTTTTTTGAGTTTCTGTATGAAAAAAAGAAAACATTGAGACCAATCATAAGTGAGAAAACAACCATGAATATGCATCATTAGACATGTGGAAGTTACTTTTAAGAAAATATCCAGTATCCTAAAGAATAGAGAGAATTTTCTTTCTTTTAAATAGGCTCCACACTTAGTGCTTGAACTCACAACCCTGAGATCAAGGCCGGAACTGAGATCAAGAGTGGGATGCTTAACTGACTGAGCCACCCAGGTGTCCAGAGAGAATTGTGTTTTATTTTTTTTTAATTTTTTTTTCTTTATTTATTTATGATAGTCAGAGAGAGAGAGAGAGAGAGAGAGGCAGAGACACAGGCAGAGGGAGAAGCAGGCTCCATGCACCGGGAGCCCGACGTGGGATTCGATCCCGGGTCTCCAGGATCGCGCCCTGGGCCAAAGGCAGGCGCCAAACCGCTGCGCCACCCAGGGATCCCCAGAGAATTGTGTTTAATATAAAGAGAAAACAATATAGGATGGGCAGAGGGAGATAGGAGAATAAAGAAAAAAAAAATAAGGAGGGAAAAAAAAGATTGTTTTCTCTCGGTGAACTCTCCCCCAAAGCTCATAGGACTTACTAAATTAGAAATTCCAGAGGCGTTTTAGTGACATGATCAGTTATCACAATTTTCATTTAATAAATGTGTACATAGTGATTTTTATGTGCTAGGCACAGTTCTAAATGCTTTACATTCAGTCATGTAATCCTCATTACCACTCTAGCAACTATTACCACTCTTTTACTCAGACACGGGATGATTAAATAATTAATCCAAAATCACACCTAGGATGTAAGTGGCAGAGCTGGGGTTCAAACCCAAGCATTTAAAATCTGGGCTCTTGGCCGTTTTATAAACCACCTCCAGAGACATTTCTGAATCTGTTAAAAAAAAAAATCACCCCCCACCCCAATTCTAAGCTGTCAAAGTCTCATCAACTTTCTGCCAGTTTTCTCACCAAATGGCCTAGTTTTTATGGCCTGACTTTGCTCAAAGTTAATTAGTAGTTAGAAAACTCTTGTGGTTGATTTTGTAACAGGTTTCCATGAGTCATTTGAAATTCTTTGTACATTTTAGAGTTTACACTTTTGTTGCTTGATAAATGTTGCAGAGACATTGCTGGCCTTATATGGAAAATAACTATTGCTGGAAGGGAAATGAATTATTTACTTAGGTTACCTGTGAGTCTATCATCAGTAAATTCTATTATTTCATTCAATCTATTTTATTTCCTGTAGCTTCTCTCATGCAATATTTTTTTCCAGCTGAGTATTATACACTTCAAATGTAATCAAGGTAATAGGCCTATGTAAGATCCACATCCTTGACCCTAAAAAATTGTCATCTATCATGAATAATTACTGAAATAAAATGTGCCTAATAATATGTGGCCAGGTTATTGAATTTGCAAAGCTTTTCCAAGTTGGCAGTGGTAGACCAAGTATTTTCTCCTTTATTGGCCTTCTGATTCATAACAACCTTCACCTAGGCATAGGATGCCCTTTCTCTGCCCATCCCTTAAATATTGTGCGTCTCTGGCTTTGATCCTATCCCTTTTCTTCTCATCTTTCCTTTTAGAACTTACTCAGTTTTATAACTTTACTGTCTATTCCAACCAGGGCCAGTTTCATGAGCATTTGAACAGTTGATTTACAGAGGGCCCTGCACTCAGAAGGACTTAATGCCTGGGAGTCTTTTTTTTTTTTTTTTACAAATTTATTTATTTTTTTTAATTTTTATTTATTTATGATAGTCACAGAGAGAGAGAGAGAGAGAGAGAGAGGCAGGCAGAGACATAGGCAGAGGGAGAAGCAGGCTGCATGCACCGGGAGCCCGATGTGGGATTCGATCCCGGGTCTCCAGGATCGCGCCCTGGGCCAAAGGCAGGCGCCAAACCGCTGCGCCACCCAGGGATCCCTGCCTGGGAGTCTTAATGCTCTGTGGTTGCAGTCTTGGAATTCTTTTTTTTTTTGTTTAAGATTTTATTTATTAATTTTAGACAGAGAGAATGATTTGAGGGGAGGGGCAGAAGGAGAGGGAGAAGCAGACTCCCTGATAAGCAGGGATCCTGACACAGGGCTCTAACCAAGGACCCCGAGATCATGACCTGAGTTGAAGACATTTGGTTAACCAACTGAGCCACTCAGGTGCCTTTACAGGCTTGAAATTCTTTCTCTTTCTTTCTTTCTTTTTCTTTCTTTCTTTCTTTCTTTCTTTCTTTCTTTCTTTCTCTCTCTCTTTCTTTTTAAAGATTTATTTATTTATTTATTTATTTATTTATTTATTTATTTATTTATTCATGAGAGACACATACACAGAGAGAGAGAGAGAGAGGGAGAGAGAGAAAGGCAGACACACAGGCAGAGGGAGAAGCAGGCTCCATGCAGGGAGCCTGATGTGGGACTCAATCCCGGGACTCCAGGATCATGCCCTGGGCCGAAGGCAGGCACTAAACGGCTGAGCTACACAGGGATCCCCAGGCTTGAAATTCTTAATAATATTATCTTTGATTTTTTTTTATATATACATGGAGTTCAATGAGACAAGTGTGCTTGGTTTTAATATAGTCCTGCCTCCCACTGCCTCTGCCTCCCTGGGATAGTTTCTCAGCCTTGCCCACCTTCCTTTTTCCCCTACCCAGAACTACTAGGACCAAGAAGTCCTGCATGCATCTGTGGTGTTGTGGGGTATGGCATGATGGCACCTGACTTGCCCTAGATTAGCAATGCCACAGTGCTGTCACCCAGTAGGTGACTCAGGAAGAATGAGCCTCTTGCCCATACCCTTTTGTAAGGGCATCCAGACATGGAAGTTGCAATCTCTTCGAGGCAGTCCCCTTAAAGGAGTTTGGAGCCTAGAGTCCATGGGGAAGGGGAGATACCTGGCTCTACTTCCCAAGCCTCAGCCAAGGCATGATCCATCAATCCTACAAATTGGTGCGAGGGAGACCTGGCAGCTGGTGGGCCTCATGGGCTCTTTGAACAAGGAACCCTGCAAATTTTCATTTGCACTGGGCACTGCAAACTGTAAGGTTGGTCCTGACACCAAGGGCTTTATTTCCAGCCCAGATCGCTCTTCTATGTTACAAATGGTATATATGTTTGCATGCTGGCTATCTCCACTTGGCTATTTCTTAGACATTTCAAATTTAGCAGGTCCAACACTAAATTTATAATCTCTACCCCAAACCTGTTTTCCTTAAATTTGGGAATGGTACAAACTAGTTACACGAGCCAATAATTTGAGAATCATTTTGATTCCGTCCTCTCTGTCTCGTATCCTCCACGTACAATTGGTTGCTAAATATTATTCTATCTCCTGGATATCTCAAACACATCCTGAATCCATTGCTGCATTACTGCATAGTTGCATAGCATGACATTTTAGCAGAAGCCTGATGTAAGAGATAAAGACACAAAACTATCTGAAGGAATGGAGTTTTAGGCAGAAGGGAAAGCAAATGCAAAATCTGCAAGGAAAACCAGCAAAGAGGTCATTACCAACCATTTGGTAATACATTACCCAAATTCAGCAGCTTACCCACCAGTAAACGGATATCCTCTCACACAGTTCCTGTGGATCAGGAATTTGGGAGCAGGATAGTCAAGAGCTTCTGGCCTAGGTCCTCCTCTGTAGTCACAATGTTGGTCAAAGCTGGTTGGTCACAGCTGCAGTCACTTAACAGCTTAACTGGGTTCGAGATCTGCTCTTCTAAGATAGATAGTTCACCCTCACGTGGTGCTGCTTGTCAGTAGGTATGTCATTTCTTTCCTACACAACCCTGTCCGTAGACCACTTGAACATCCTCATGACACAATGCTGTCTTCCCTGACAATGACTAATCCAAGAGAGTGGGTGAGGTAGAAGCCATAACATCTTTTATGACCTAACCTTGGAAGTCATGCTTTGTCATTTCTGCCACTGGTTATACAGGTCAGGCAGCTCTACTCCTAATGGGAGGAACTTATGCAAGAGCATGAACACCAGAGTCAGGAGTCACTGGGAGCCATCTTGGAGGCTGGCTGCCACATATCTCCGCTGTTGTGCTACATTATTTCTGTCATTCTTCATTCTTAGTTACTGCGAGCTAACTATATGCTGGCCACTTCCCTAGCTGTTGAAGATTCAATAGTAAAGACAAGAAACGAAGACAGATAATGTCTCTGCCATCATGACTTTCCACCGTAGTGGATAGAGGCAAGTAAGTAAGTACCTGTCAGGAAATGAAGGGCACTGTGAGAAAAATGCAGCAGGGCAAGAGTCAGAGAGAACGATGGTTGGGAGAAGGACCTTATAATGAATGGTTGGGGGCAAACCCTGTGATAAGGTGACATTTTAGCAGAGGTCTGAAGGAAGCGAGGGAACAGAATATGTAAATCCCTGAGGAAACAGAGTTTTAAGAAGGAAATGCAGGTGCAAAAGCCTTGAGGACAAGAATGCTTAATGTCTTCAAGAAAAGCAGAGGCCATGGTGGTGACCCTAGCACAGTGACAGAGGAGGAGATGAGGGAGGGAGGAAGGGGAGTGCTGCAAGCCACTTTTAGTCATTAGAGGGACTTGGGTTTTGGCCTTGAATAATGTGGAAAGTCTTTGGAAAGTTTTAACTAAACAGGTGGCATACTTAACTTATATTTTAAAAGGATCTTCCTGACTGCATTATGGAAAATAGACTAGTGTGTAGAAGAGCAAGTGTCACATCAGGGAGGCCAGCTAAGAGACTAGTTCTTTAATAAAGGCAAGGGATAATGGTCCTGAACCAGAATGGTACTGGTAGTTGTGGATTAAGGTATGTTTTGAAATCAATCTGAAGGGTGTCTGAGGTACTGGATATGAGTCTGAGGGGGAAAAAGGAATCAAGGAGGACTCCAAGACTTTGAGAAACTGGGAAAATGGAGTTGCTATTTTTGAGATGCGTAAGACTACAGGAGAATAAGGGGATAGGGGAGTTTGGTTTTGGTCCCATAAGATTTGAAATGAGATATTCATGTGGAGATGTCCAGCAGCCATGTGTCTGGTGCTTGGAGGAGAGATCTGCACTGGAGATAGACTTCAGACCGGCTAGGATTGGTTAGGAGGTTAATCTATGTAGAGAGAGAGGGTCTGAAGAGCACCTGGGTGGCTCTGTCAGTTAAGTGTTGGACTCTTAATTTAGGCTCAGATCATGATTTCAGGTCGTGAGATCGAGCGCCGCGTCTGGCCGTGTGCTGGGCATGAAGCCTATTTAAGATTCTCTCTCTCCTTTCCCCCCATCCCCCCAAAAGAGATAGGGTCTGAGAGCTGCACTTTAGGACTCTGCCCTCCAACACCTGTATTGAGAAAATGTGGAAAAACCAGTAAAGCAGATGGAGATGGAAGGAGTGTCCAGTGAGAAATGAGGAACAGGAAAGTGTAAAGTAAAAACTTTTTCAAAAAAGGAGGAAATGATATCCTGATATCAAATGAATCTGATAATGTGACCTTGTAAATACTTCAAATTTTCCTGTAACTAAAATAGCTTTCTTTGAATATGAAGAAAATTTGTCATGGGATTTAGCAGTGGGAGGTCACAGGTGACATCAGCAGTTTCAGGGGAGTGATAGGGGACAAAATTCTGGAATAGGTTTCCTAGTGTGTTTTTTTCCAACACCACAAAGCAATTCTCCAATTCTCAGTGGACATTGACTGGGTGTCCTACAATCAACAATTCTGACACTATCTACCAGAGATAACTTCAGATCCCACAGGTTAAGACTTCAGTCTCACAAAACAGCCATGCCATCCCCCATTTCAGACCCCAATCACAAATCCTAGTTGTCACCTGTGCTTCCAACCACCTAGCTATTGCTTGAAGGTTCCCACAACCCCCAACTCAGGTTTGATTAATTTGCTAGAGCAGCTCACAGATCTCAGAGAAACATTTTCTTACATTTACCAGCTTATTATTAAGGAGTTTATAAAGTGTACAGATGAACAGCTGGATGAAGAGAGCAAGATCCAGAAAGTTTCTGAGCACAGGAACTTCTGTCCCCTGAGCACTGGGTTGTACCATCCTCCCAGAATGTACCTGTGTTCTCCTGTAAGTTCACTGAGTCTTGTTTAAGAGTATTTATAGAGCTTAATCTTCAGCATCCTCCTACCCTCATCTCAGGGACCAGTGGGTGGGGCTGAAAGTTTCAATGTTCCAGTCACTTGGTCTTTCTGATGGCCGGCTCTATCCTGAGGTTATCTAGTGTAGGGGCATATCCTAAATCGCTTCATTAGCATAAACCCCAAAGGGCCTCCTATCACTCGGAAAATTCCACGGGCTTAAGGAGGTATGTACCAGGAACTAAGGACAAAGACCAGATATATTTCTTGTTATACCACAGGTTTACAGGAGAATGAAGGATGAAGAAATGGTAGAAATGACTATCAACAACTCTTTTGAGGAGCCTTGAAATTCTTTGAAACCTATGAACTCTAGAATTCTATATTCATTTCTACTTGGATTCTAATAGGCAGCTAAAATTTAACATCCAAAATCAATCTCCTGATCTTCCTCCCTTCCTCCTGATCTCCATCTCAGATAAAGCAAAACTCCATCCTTCTGATTGCTCAGTCCTCAAAGCCTGGAGTCACGTTTGACTCCTCTCTTTCTTGTACAGTCTATATTTACTCCTTTTATGTCTGTTGAAATATATTTAGAATTAGGACCACTCCACACCACCTTCCCCCCTAACATCTCATCTGTGACATCATCCTCTCTTACTTGGATTAGTTTTCTAATTTCCTTACTTCCCACCTTTGACCCCCTATAGTCCATTCTCACTCAATACAGTAGCTAAAGTGATGTTTTTAAACCGTAAGTCAGATCATATTATTCTTTGTTCAAACTACCAGGAGCTCCCCATTTGCACTGTAGGAAAATCTAAGGTGTTTTGAAAGCTACCCTATTTAAATTGCAAAATCTTCAGAGGCACCACATATGATTGTACAAGATGTTTACACAGGTGCCTGGGCAAGGGGAGTTAAATGAAGCCTGATATCTACCTCAGGCCCTACTGCCAAGCCTCATGCTTTGGTTCAAGGTTCTGTCTGTACAAGCTTTCACATAGGTTGTCAGCAACCCTGGACACCTCTACGCAAGTACTCCACTTCCTTCTTACTTTATTTTCTCCTTCTTCCCTAACTCCCTTTTACATACTACATCATTTGTTTACTTACTCTCCGTATTATCTATCTTCATTAACCAAAGGATAAGCTCCATGAAAGCAGTGCTTTTGTCTTTTGTTCACCACAACATTCCCAGCACAAAATAGGTTTTCAATAAATATTTATTGAAATGAATTGAAGATAGTGTAAAGGGTAGTAGATAAATGCACAAGTAGAAAGGTATGTGGAGCCAATAGAGGTTATGTGGGAGAGAGAAGAGGAAACTGCTGTTGAGATATCCTTGGGTAGATAAAAGGGATGAGCTCTTATAAACTGGAGATAATGGCTATGAAAAGCAGGATAAAATATTCTATATGCAAACCGTAGTGAAAATACAGTATTTGGATACAGATGCAGGTATACAGGTAAATGTATTGGTAGGAGCTGTGGAGGCTGTGAAGCCCCCCCCATGTTTATTTTGAAAGATTTTAAACATATAGAAAAGTTAAAAAAAAGTGTAACAGACACCTATACACCCATCCAAACTTCAACAATTGGGAACATTTTGCTATATTTGATTTATCTGTTTGTCTTTCTGATTATATTTCATTGAACCATGTTAATGTTGCAGACCTCATAACATTTCATCCCTACATAAATAACACATGCACATAGAAGAGATTTAACAATATTTCCCCCATACCAACCCATTCCATATTCAAGTCTCAGAGTCTTAAATGGTTGGGTTTTTCTTTTTCTTTTTTCAAAATTTTTTATTTATTTTTTTTCATGAGAGACACAGAGAAAGAGGCAGAGACATAGGCAGAGGGAGAAGCAGCCTCCCTGCAGGGAATCCGATGTGGGACTCAATCCCAGGACTCCAGGATCACAACCTGAGACAAAGGCAGACACTCAACCCTTGAGCCATCCAGGTGTCCCTATGATTGGGTTTTTCGTGGAAGCACCCAATCGCATTTCACATACTGTGATTGGTTATATTCCCTGCCTTTTTTGCCTATGACTTTGACTTCGACTTTTTTAAGAGAACAGCAGAGCTGTGGATGATTATTTTCCCTAATACTGGTTTTCAAAGTCTAGTATTTCCTGTTAACTGGACATAAGTCAGAGGCTTAATTAGATTAGAGATAAACATTTTTGCCAAGAATCTGTCATAGAAGATGCTGTGTTCTTCATGTGGCATTACAGTAAGAGGTATCCACTGACAGACTGTCCTACCATTTGATCACTAAGCTATATGATGAACATCAAATTCTTCCATTGGGTCAGGGTTCAAACCTGGGCAGTCTGACTCTAGGGTAGGTTCCTCTAAACACTTTGCTATTGTTGAGATAAATTTCTAAAATGAAGCCACCCCTGCCTGGGCTGCCATGTCAGCAAAACAGATTTCTGTGTTCCTGTAAAGTAAATGCTCTGCTTGACCAGAAACACAGTACAGTTGACCCTTGAATAACAAAGGAGTTAGGGGTGCTGATCCCTGCCCCCTGCACTATTGAAAATCTGTGTATAACTTTTGGCTTCTCAATAACTATTAATCCAGTAACATAAACAATTGACATGATTGTATAAACATAAACATAAACATGATTGTATGTTGTATTAATTACATTC